GAATTCTCCTGGATCATTTGAACACGTGTACCATAGCCTTCAAAGGTTGTAGATCTTTTTTTCTAAGAGCTTGCTTATTATTTACCTGTGATTGTTCCAATCCAATACAAGTACATTTTGTTCAGTTTAGAGAATATGCATCTTAGAGCAGTTTTCAAATAGACTGTTTGAGGCCTAAAATAAGACTAGGACTGTCAATGAACAGAGCCAAGTGACAATCCCCAGAATGTTACTGTTGTTTCCATTTCCGTGCCCTGAAGAATGCTGGCAGTCCCATCCTTTTCCTTAAAAAAGTAGCGGAGTTTTCAAAGGTTAGTTCCTAGTATTCATGGCCAGAACTGTATCAGGAATGCTGTATATTACCCCAAAACATGGTTGCAATTATCTCTCAGCTTTTTGGGCCCTTAGATCACCTGACATCCCAGGTTACTTTCTGGACTATAAATATCCAAAGCAGTCTTGTGCATTTTCAGTCCTCTGGCCAGGAAATGGGAATCATGGTTCCATTTTAAATATTGATAATATTGCTTATACAGATTAATCTGAACTTCATTACACTTCAGCCCATTTGAACAGCATGCAAATATTATCAGTAGCCCAAAAATTTCTCTCTGGTCTCAATTAGTATATTAATACCATTTCCAAACTCACTATATAAACACAGACAGAGACCAGCCGTCCTTCAGTCAAGTGTGTGTGTGTATAATGATATGCATTAAATGAAATACATACATATGTATTTCATATGTATGTATTTCAGATTGCAGTTTAAAATCTAAACTAACTTCAGAATCCCTCTATCAGCTCAGTAGATAGACTTTATTTCTGTGCTATTTCTCTTTCATTGGCACTATTACAAAATGATTAAATCAACTGGGTTACAGAACAAATGTGACACAGTTACAATAAGTTATACAAGCTGCATGATGAAATTGGGAGGCTCAGGCAAAAAAGCTTTGATCGTTTCATTAAATAGTGGGTTGGGCCTTATGTTAGTTTTCACATGTTGATATCATAACAATCTGCTCTGCTGCAACAGCAAATGAACTAAGCATGTCTTCTATGGCTTGCTTTTGTAACTGCTCTCTAATCACCACCCACTGTACACACCTAACTCCATTCTGACAGGTATTAGTATAGCAGCCATCTCACCGGGAGACCTACTTTACTTTAGGAAACTTGGCATTATGTATTTTTCATTCAAGCTAAATTCAATGCGAGTCTATGTCATATTCAAGTCAATACTGCTGACTGTATTTGCATAAATTTATCTTGGGTACATAAAAAGCAAGATTTAGAATTAAACAAATAATATAAAATCTGAACACAAGTCCAGCAGTTTCTAAAACACTGCTGCCATCTCAACCCTACAGTTACTAAGAAAAATCTGTTTGCATGTCAATCTCATTTTACATATGGAATCTACCTTACTTGGAAAATAGTTATTTGTTAAATGAATTCCTTTAGCTATTTTGCTATACCTAGTCAAGCATACATTGTGTGTGGACATTGCCTCAGGCTACTGATCAGTTTATCTAGGGGCATAAAACTCCTTTTCACTTAACAATTGAAACAAAAAACCTTCTTCAGAGTTTGTGTACTACATTTATTACATTAAAACACAACATAAACAGAACACTACATTGGGAAGTGACAGAATGAGGTAGGTAAGATTTCCACAAACATGCATTACAACACTCTCTACAGATCATGGGTAAAAATGAGCAGTTCCCAACATCCCAGGAAACAGTATTTTTTCCTGATGGCTGTCGTATTGGTACTCCAAAATCTCAAGTTCCATTAAAAAGAAATTCTCTAACCCTCAGCAAAACATGAAACCAATGTAACTGCATGGTTGTTACTGCGCATGGTCAAACATCCTGAAACAAACAACACTAAGAGAAGTGTTGCCAAATTGGAAGTGCCATATGAACTCTGAAGCACCCCTAATTTTTTTATCTAGTCTTATGCCTGCTTTAGACACTGTTTCTCAATTCATCTGTTTCTATAACCTCACAGCCATGTCTAGCATTTTGTAACACGTTTCATATGCTATCACTCACTGATACTTGAATTTGATGATACCCACATATAGTACATTTTCCTTTCAACAAGCAGCCTGGCTTTCTTTAGGTGCAATTCAGGGAAGAGTCAATATCCTACAAATTTAGTTCATTAGCGTAAGTGGGAACAGAGTAATAATTCAAAGAACACAGTTACCTTCGGAGGTGAACAATGTTTCCTTACTCTGTAGCGAAGTCCTTAGATTCAAATCCATTAAAGTATTCAAGATTTGGATAAAGTTTAAAAGGACCCCCCTTGGCTCTGGACTTTCCAGTTACTATTAGCAACTATGAATAAAATCAGATCAATACACCTTTCCTATTCCCAAGACCTAGACTGGTTCCAAATGTTTCGTAAGAAGTCCGTACTGGGAAAAAAAAGATATTTTAGGAAAGTCAAGAGACTTTAAACCCATGTCACTTCAATGCAAAGTCTGTTAAACATTTACCTTTATTAAATAAATTGGATCTTTTATCTTGGCAGAAGCCAACTGAACATGTATATTCCACATATTTACCCAACAAATATGTTAAACGTAATCTGCACTTTGTTAAGCTACAACCTTCGACACATGCCACTTGAGTGCCCCAAACAAACAGTGTAAGAGGGCATTTCAGTATGTTTTAAATATTTTGAGTGCTGCATAGTGTTATCTCCCACAACCAGCAGCTCTAGTTCGATAAGATGTTCCAGTGTGCTTTCTGCAAGGGAGAATGTTGAACATTGATAAAGAATACAGGTTGCCTATAGGATTAAAGCAGCCTGTTCTTTCTTCCTTTTCTCCACTCCTCTCCAATACAGAATTATGTAAATGTATAAGTATTCAGTATTATGTTTTATTGTCTAGGACAGGAGTGGCATATCTTCTTTTGCTCTATAGCAGTGGTTCTCAAACTTTCTGGACTCAAGCCACCCCTCATTAGACTCAAGGCATGCCTTAGAAATGTCAGCTTTATATTTTCACTCATTTTTTTTTTTTGACTACAGAAAAATAATTGGGTATGTTTTTCTGTTGCAAAGAACTCAAAAAGAGCCAAAATGGTGCTTTTGGCACCATGAATTCTTATTTGAAATCTCCAGGTTTATCTTGTGAATCGTGTTTGCAGACCCATCAGTGCTGATATTGTATGGAACCGCACAACACCATTGAAAGAATCTCAAAGCACTCCAAGATGCCACAGCACGTAGTTAGTAATCAATCACTGCTCTAGAATGTAAGGAAATGGCCTGTGCCAACAGAACAAAGTTTATCCTCTCATCTTAGAACCCTAGTTCATTTTAGATATCTTTTCCCCTCCACACCTATGAGAACAACGTCCTGTGGTTCAGGGGCATTAGATGGGAGCTCCCTCAGTAACCCATCAGAAAAGTGTTATTATTTCCCCGAGTGGTCAAATTCACTGACACAACAGTAATCACACTGAGGAAAGAATTTGGACTGGTGAATCAAGGCAGTGTGTTTTGCATGGCAGTAAAAGAGAATTACCTTCAGGTTCAGTGCTCAAAGTTCTTATTTACTCAGCCGGTTCCCTTCCTTTCTCCCATTACTCTGTCCACCTCTTTCCTTCTCTATTGTTCAACAGAAAGGTTGTACTTCAGACTTCTTACCTCCTGTACATGATATTATACAACCAGTTTGAGATGAACCTCAGGAAGACTCATACTGTACCATTACTGCAAGAACAATAGTGATAGGAAAGACAATGTAAAAAAAGCATACATTGTGGGCAGAGAGAGGCACAAAAAGAAGGGGAAGAAAAGGATTATAGCTGTTTCCACTCCCTAAAGGGTGTGGTGTCACACCAACAGCAAGATGCATGCTAGGCCATATCATTCAAGGGTTTAAGGGCAGCAACATGTTGATGTACAAAACAGGAAGCAAGCACGCAGAAAGTAAACACATCCATACAGAATATCCATTGACATATTATACTTTGTTTTCTGAATGCTCCAAATTTTAGCAGCAGTCCACTAAAAAAAACACCTATTTTGCACTGATTTTCCAATGAGATATTATGGTAGATGGCATAAAGTTAACAGTTTCTCAGTTAAAGGCAGTGGTTGTTTGTTACAGGATTATTACACCTAGCACAGTGTCCAGTGAAAAAAGGGAAAGCAAGGACAATCCCAAGATCTAATCCTGACTCACTGGAGAACTCAGCTGGCTTCCTTGTACTTCAATAAACAGTTGGAAAGTTAAATTAAAAAATCATACAAGCCAAAATTTTCTAAATAGCACAGGAAATTGACATAATAAAAGATGCAGATGTTCCTAAAAATATATTTCCTTTTAAAGATTTTAAAGTAAACCTCCACTCAAAAAGTTAAATTGTAGGTGCATTTATACTATCATCACATTTCATAAGGATTTTTCATGGCTCCAGCCATAATACAGACAATTTATTAAACATTTATTTTAGAGGATAATTTTAACTTGTACTCAAAAGTATTCTGTTTCTGATGTATGTAGAACAGAGATTTACAAAATGATCTGAACTATCTTTAAGGATTTGTTACATATTTATCAGCAAGCTAGTTGCTTAAATGTTCCACTTCTTTTTTTTTTTTTTTTTTAAATCAGTAAAAGAAAAGTTGAGGGATGTCTATGGACATCCAGAATGGCTAACAAGTGAGCAAGGATTCCCAAGAACAGACTGGAACTCTTAATGCATCAGATGGCATGGGACCAGATCTTCACCTTTGCAAAACTCAGTAATCTAAAGTATAATCCTAAACTGAATTGGAGATAATTATGAAGAATAAGAGAAAAGCTGTTGCTGTAGGAATACTCCTTTCTATGGAAATGCTTACTCTTGTATTAGTATGATGCATTTAAACATGCTGCGACTTTCTACAGTCAAGGTTTCCAGAACAAACATCAAAGGAAAAGTGGAAGACCCAGCTGTCAGAAGTTTTTAAGGCACAGAATTTCCTGATCAGCACAAAGCAAACCAACCAACGACAACAAAACACATGAGCTTTTCTCAGAATTAAAAACAAAAACAATCTAATTAGAATGAGGTAAAGAAGTTCCTAGAATGTGGCCTTAAGCATCCTAAAGATATTTTTTGTTTCAGTTTAAAGAAATACTATCACGATAATTCATAATATACATTTTAATATAATCAGGTGAACACATTTCTGCTTTAAATTGTATTTAGCTAGGTAACAACACCTGAAGTTGGAAAACTGGATCTCTATATAATCTCTAGTGCAGAGGTTCTCAAACTGTGGTCCATGGACCACCACTGGTCCACAAACTCCACTCAGGTGGTCCGCAGAAAGGTTGCGGAATAAATCAAGAATATCTGTACTTGTAAGGTAAGACTAATGATATTAAAATATGAGTTGTATGCTTTGCTTTGTAAAACCAGAAAAAGTTTAAGTGGTCTGCCGAGACCCTCAGCAATTTTCAAGTGGACTGTGAAAAAAAAAGTTTGAGAACCACTGCTCTAGTGCATAACCAGTCCTCTGTGAATGACTGTTGCATAAGAAATTCTGTGCAGACTACTATATAAACAGTTATTTGCTTCCAAGATGTTACAAGTACCAATAGTCCCCTGTACATTTTCAATATTGAAGTTCTTTGAATCCAGGAATTTAGAAGATCTGAAGTCAGAGATGTCTGGCTCAAGCCCTTGCCTTTAAAGGATGTTGGCATCTCAAGCATGGACTTCATAATATGAGTTTGTGTGTGTCCTGTCACAACCCAAAGTTGTGATTTTTGTTTTTGTGTGCGCTTTGGCACTGCTGAATTATTTTCCCGCTAAATTGCAGCTTCTTTGCACGGTGGAGTTTTCTGCTCTAAAGGAGAACCCCAGTGCAAGGGAGAATTTCCCGCCAATTTGTAGCTTTCTTTGCATGGTGCATTTCTTTTTGCATCTAAGAAATGCTCGGTGCAAAGAGTTCCCGCCATTTGTATTCTAATTCGAGCCCCATTATTGGCTTGCGTGAAATTATTCACACGTGGCGGCTAGTGATTGGCTTGCTAGCCGTATAA